AAATTAAACATCAAATATTGTGAACTTGTATGCATTTGCTCTCAGGCACCTCTGTGCACGCTTATAAATGCACACTTGACTCACAAACACACACACATGCGCGCGTACACTCTGGGAGGAATTGCACCATAATTATGCCTTAGGTAGAGGTGATTAATTTTTTAATGGATTCAATGTTTTATTCATAGTACCTATCCACTCTTGAATATGGCAGAGCGCACAGAAAACCATTGCCAGAAAGTGAATACATGATAAAACTGGCTATTAGTAAGTTCATACAGTAGATAAATTACACATCTCGGTAGCTTTGAAAAAAGTCGAATTTCAGGCTGAAACTGTAGATTCACAGTAGGTCTTATAAATAGTTTCATAAATATGTAATTTACTTCCCCTTCTGCCTCGTGCTTTATTTAGGGTTGTTCTGGGCATGAAGAATTTGGAACAAAACAATGTATTTTTGTGACAGACAGCAAAAGGCAGAGAAAAGGGACAGTAGGAGGAGAGGGTGTTGTCTCCTGAGTGAGGCCAGCAGGACCGGTTATTCTGTCCTAGAAATCCATTTACAGCACCGAGCACTCTGCCTAATCATCTGCCCCACTGTGAAAGGAATACTGTGTCCTACACTCAAGAAGGGCCATAAAACTGGATCACATTTAGGATTTTTAAATATTAGTCCTTCCTCCTGCTGATTTTCTCCCCCCAGTGTATGAAGAAGATTTCTTTTAAGCAATTTTGTTTGCAGACCAGAGTGGAGATTGAAGAATGATGAAAAAGGGAAACGGAGGTCACGTGTATATGATAGAAATTTAAGATAAAAGTGTTAGGATGGAGCTACTGTGGACACGATACTCTAATTAACAAAAGCAGTAGGGGTAAAATGATTATTTTATTATGTTTAGACAGTCATGGGGCTTAATTATATTTTGGAGAATATAAAAAGAGGATTTAATTGTGCAACTTAAATTCAATATAAATATTTCTGAAGCAGAACATGAACAAAAAATAATATTTGGCATTGTTTCCAAGCCACAAATCTTTAGGTAAGAACCATCTCCTACTGAAACAAATCGAATTCCTTGTGCTCTACTCTTTATTCATACTACTGTAGTGTAGAGCATGAGGAGTGGCAGAAAGCTGGATCTCATTTGTGATTTTTTAAAAAAACAAAAAACAAAAAAACATTACTCCTTCTTCCTGCTGTTTTTCACCCTCCAGTGCATGAAGATTTCCCTTGAACAGTTTTGTTTGCGGAACAGAACAGACATTTTAAAAAATGAGGAGAGGAAATGCAAATGATGATAGAAATTTGTGATACGAGTGTTAGACTGCAGTTAAGCTCCTCTACAGTAAAAAAACACAAAACAGTTGAGGTGGTCCGGGCATCTGATCACCCCCTGGATGCCTTATATGTGAGGGTTTCTTGGACATGCCCAAGTTGGAAGAGGCCCCTGGACATACTGCGTTTTGGCTGGCTGGGGAACATCTTGGAGTTCCCCCAGAAGAGCTGCAGGAAGTAGCTGGGTGAGGGAAGTCTGGGCATCTTGTCTTAACTGTCTCCACAACCAGATCAAGTGGCAGAGGATAGGTGGATGGATTTCTTATTGCAATATTGTCTTATTTGTACACATCTACGGGTATTTGCACAGCTCACGCCAACCTCTGAGCACAATGTGAATGGCCACATTATCAGGCATCTGCAATCTATTCTCTTAATCTGATTGCTTTAATCCGGTCACTCCTTAACCCTGCTAATACCTGCTCCATGGCCTGTTCATCCTTCCTGTATATATTAAATAATGCAGGAGACTGCATGTTCCCCTAATTTATCGCTCTCTCCCAGCTGGATTTGAAGTGACAGATTTATGAGATTGCCATTTGCGGCTTGCGTGTAATACTGCCAGTTGAGGGTCAGTGAGACTGACAGAGTCAAAGCTGTTTGATGACCTCTCTGTGATAATGACCATACAAGAGAGAAGGACACAGAAGGACAGGGAAACAGATAAAAGGAGTAGAAGGTTATTGGTGTGGGTGGGTGATGAAGGAAAAAAGGTGGTTGGATGGTCATCTGACAGAGTAAAGCAGACACAACCACATCTCTTAAATGGGCTACATGTGATACCCTAGAAAAAACTGGGACAGATTCATATTGGTATGACGAATCAAATCAATCTTAGATGTCAGTTAACACTGTACACGGAGAAAATTGCTTTTTTAGATCAAAAGAAGAAATCTTTTCTTGAATGCTTTTTTACTGAATTTGAGATTATAAGATTGTCTCCTCTCTAATTTCTGTCCATTAAATCAGGACACAAGCAGGCTTATTCAACGTTTTGTTAGCATAAACACTAACCTGGCTTTGTGCAAAGGTGAAAACACAAGCACCTATAGCTCTATCTCTTAAGGGTGCTTTATCCCACAGGCTTCAAACTCTGTTAGGGCCTGGGGCAGAATATACTATGTCTCTCTCACACACTATAAGTATAGCATCTTCATTCCAGCTTCTGATCACTACAATGGACTATGACCAGAGTCAGAGGTAAAAGTAATATATTTCCTAGTATGCTCCTTGTTCATTGAAACATCTCAGAAAATGTGCCAAATGATTAAAATAATCAACCAAAACAAAATAATTTGAAGATAAAATGGCATCGGCACCCTGCTTCTTGCCCTGTCTTGACCCTGAATTGGATAAACCGAAGAGAATGAATGGATAGACTGATGGATGGATGGATGGATGGATGGATGGATGGATGGACAGCTGGACAGCTGGACGGATGGACGGACGGACAGATGGATGGACGAACGGATGGATGGACGGACAGATGGATGGACGGACGGACGGACGGACGGACAGACAGACGGACGGACAGATGGATTTAATGAATAAAGCATTTATATACTACATACATGAAGTTTGGTTCACAAGATAGAACCATAGCTGACACTTGTAATCTGCCTAATATAATGGATTTGTGTATTTTGTGTAATGTACAAAGGATAATAGTTTGTCATTTCTGGACTGTGCTGTGCACACTGACAAGGATATAAGCCTTAACATTGAAGTTCACTGGAAGCCCACATACACAAATCTGTACTTTTAACTCCCACCACCCTCCGGAACACAAGCTTGGGGTGATCAGGACCCTGCCATACTTGACAGAAAATGTTCCCTATGGCAGAAGGGAAACAAAAGGAACATATACGTGTACACAAGTACATACTGTACTTCAGACCCAGCCACACCCTCGGACATAAACCTGTTCATCCGTAAAACAAAGCTCCCAAACAGAAACTAAGCAACATAGTGTACGCTGCGCAGTGCAGTGAGGAGTGACAGATGGTTTGAAATAGGAGTAAAAGAGGCCACCTATGTCCACTGTGGAGGACCATCATCGAAGGAGGTGGTGGCTTACGGCAGGTGCCTCAACCCTGACTCACATCAAGTAACCTCAACAGGTCACATGATAGGGTGGGGCAAGGTCTCACAGTGGTTTCACCTGAAACCTCTGGTGGTAATGACCCACGCCTTTTTTCACACCTTGTCTCATGTGATGACATACGTGATTAATAGTGTGTCAACGACCACCTCCTAAGCAGCATTAGGGCTTAAATACCTGGGACTTTTGGTTTTTGAACTGAAAGAGCCTCTTGGATGAGAGGTGAAATGGGTTTAAAAAACTTAAAGCTCTCTTTCTGGCTCTTGTTTTTCCTGTAATGTAGACGGGACACTTTGATAGCCATGAAGCTTTTTTGCTAAGCAATCTGCTTCCTGGTTGTCACTACATATTTAACTGTATGATTACATGACAGCTGCTTTTGATTTTGGATTGAATAGGCTGTTTTCTCATAATAAAACCTATTATAAGACAGTGTGAGTACAGATGTAACACAGATAGGAGATATTACATTAACCAGCTTTTCTTTTGGTATACAACATAACTCCTTGTCTAACAAGGAGAGATTTTATCCACAATTCTTTTGAATCTTTATGTCGATGATGTGTCAAAGAATATGAGAGCCTGTAAATTTAGTGAACCACATCATGTATGCAGATGATCTTGTGGTCTTCAGTCCTAGTAGTGCTTCTCTCCAGCAGCTACTTCACATATGTTATGCGTATTACTCGCAATGCCTGTAAGAGCGATATGATTTCTAGATTCTATATAGATTAAGGAGGAAATCTATCTCAGATTTCCAAAGTTTACATTGTCAGATAATAATCTTACTGTCAGTAATGAGATCAAATATCCTGCAGATCTTTCTGCAGATCCAATGACAGATGACAACAATATTTATAGGCATGACAGTTAATGTATGCTCAAGCGAACATCCTCTTATGCAAATTTACTGCATGTACAGAATGAGTGAATATTTCTTCATTTAGAGCATACTGTACACATTTGTATACAGAACACCTGTGGATGAAATACAGGGAAGCGAGCTACATGTAGCTTATAATGATGCCATGAGGTTGTTACTAAAGAGACTAAAATGGCAAGTGAGATGCTTGTAACTGCTGGAATCAGTATATTTAAAGCTTTATTAAGAAATCTCATGTTTAAATTTATATTCAGGCTCAACACGCCTGAGAATGAGATCACTGGGCTAAATGGATATCAGGTTTGGCAAAACATGAGTCTTTATTGGAGGCACTCCTGTAGTCTCTTTGTGGGTGTATTTCTTTCTATGGACAATGAGTGCTGAATAAAGATTGACTGATTGGGAAACATTGAAAAGAGGAGTCTCTAGCCACCTGACAAAAATGATAATGCTGAAAAATACTGCAGAGTGCAGTGGCCAGTGTGAAGAGGACGAGGTTTGCATTTAAGTTATGCATGAAAAGGAACACCAAAACGACCACCAAAAAAAACGATAGCATACCTCCTTGTTTCATCTCCACACAACAAATGAGCTAGGGATCAAAAAGCCCGAGCCAAGGATGCGCTTTTACTGAAGCTTTGGTGGGGGGGTTGGGTTTCTCATTTTTCTCACGACCTGATATAGGCTGCATCGTGAAAAGACAGGATAGCGATGGGAGGAGGGTTTTTTTCTGCCCTGAGTGGGCAGGCCCTTAAAGCACGGCGTGGTTATATTATTGGCGCATAGCTGTTAAATGATGAAGAATTTTAGAGAGGTTGCCGGTGGTCCAACCAATCGCGTACCGAGGTGTGGCCCCGTGAAGGCGTGGTCTAAGCGAAGAGGGGCCGTCCCAGAAGCGGAAGTGTGTCTCGGCTGATCTTTCGCTGTCATTCGGCCACGGTCGGTTCCAGGAGAGAGGGGCAGCCAAGAAGCAAGCAAGCACACACACAGAGGATCGGCTGGCTCTGAAGGAGAGACAGTTAGTGAGAAGAAAAGAAAATAAAGCGAACAATGAAACCGATCGAATAAGGCTTTATGAACGAACCGAGTATAAGTCACACACTGCCACGTTAACAAAGCTCTTCGATGATACGGTCCAGATTACAGGCAGCAGATAGAGAGCTGTGTCATTGAGCAGGCAGGACACGTCAGGAGAAGGGAGAGTGAAAAAAAAGAGCTGACCGACTGCACTGTACGAGTCAGCTACTAAAACCGCCTCTGAAAACCTTTGCCTGCCGCACTCATTGTTTCAAGGACACCGTCTCGCTCTCAGCCCGAGGGAAAGGATCTCGACACAGACGACGCCGAGGTCGAAAGGTGGTGATCAGAAGGTGAGGAGATGTTTTATTCGCTTGCCTTCAACCTGTCCAGCTAGCTAGCATTCGTGCTAACGGTCGTTAGCTAGCAAGCTAATGTTAGCAACGGATGGAAAAGTTAGCTGGTCAGCTAACAGCGATTTAAACTGCTTCTCCGTCGACGCGTGAAACCGATTAATTAACAATAATTTGCCCGACTGATAAAAAAGCCGTATTAATATAAACGTAATTTTGATAGTGGGCTCTTCCCAGGGTGCTGACAGCTGTCAAACAAGGTCGAGTGTTTTATTTTTGACGGTTTTGTTGGTTTTTTGTCAATATTTTCAGCCTTCGTTGATATTTTGTGCTAATGTGCGTTTCTTGGGTGATAATTAGTTGCCTGTCAGTTGGTTTTCGTTAGTAAAACGTCCCCAAATGGAGACTATATGCTCGACACAGCAGTGGTTCTGGCTTTACTGGTGGCTGCCAGCAGCTCAGCTGTAGACAATCTGGCAACGTCACGGGGTTATAATTAGCTAAAGATGTAACGTTAACTGGCTGGCTTTTTTTTAAGGATGAGCTCTAAAGCCACAGTACAGTGAATGTTATATGTGTGTAGGATCTCATTTAGAACCTACACATAAAGAGATTTCCATGCCTCTGTGTCCCCTCACTTCGTTGTTTTTTTTTCTAAATCCCTTGATCTGTTGGTTAATGTGAGTGGGTGACTGCTAACTCAGTGCATGCCATGCTTGTATGCTCTTCTCTCTATAGGACCAAACGATCACGGGATAGCACTTGTCTGTGGGGGGAGAAAACAAATGGGGGATTACGGGTTTGGAGTTCTAGTTCAAAACAACACTGGCAACAAGTCTGCATTCCCTGTCCGAATCCACCCGCATCTGCAGCCCCCTCATCATCACCAAAATGTGTCGCAGAGCCCTGCCGCTTTCATAAACAGCACCACAGCCGCAGGGAATGGCACCACGGGAGGCTCTCCCTGGCTCTTCCCTGCCTCCGCCACCCACAACAGCGTGCAAGACGAAATCCTGGGGGGGCCAGAAAAACCCAAAGCACAGCAGCAACAGGAAATGCAAGAAACGCAAGAAAAGCAGCAGTTGTCTCCTGGGAGTCACCAAGAGGGTGGAAGTGGCGTTGGGATAATTTCAGAATTGGAAAAAGCCAGGTCCGAGGAAGGCAAGACAGAGAATGGCACATCTGACAGCAGTAATGGAAAAGAGAAGCAGCTCCGTCTTGAGTCACCTGTTCTGACAGGCTTTGATTACCAGGAGACATCTGGTCTCGGGGGTACGGGCCCAGTTCAGTCCAGTACAACCTCGTCATCGCTTTCTGGCTTTAACAACTGGTCACCCGCCATCCCACCTGCGCCATCAACAATCATCAACGAGGATGTCAGCTTTTTCAACCCGGCGTCTGCCAGTAACGGGCCTCTGCTGTTCCAGAACTTCTCACACCACGTCAGTCCAGGGTTTGGTGGGAACTTCTCCCCCCAGATCGGACCAGCTGCTGCCTTGTCCCAGCACCACCCGGCTCCCCCACCTCATCCCCATTTCCAGCACCCCCACAGCCAACACCAGCAGCATCGGCGTTCTCCAGCTTCTCCCCACCCACCACCGCCCTTCCCACACAGGAATGCAGCTTTCAGCCAGTTGCCGCATTTGTCCAACAGCCTGAACAAGCCCCCGTCTCCCTGGGGTCCAGCCAGCTACCAGAGTCCCTCTCCCTCCCCCGGCTCCTCCACTTCCTGGAGTCCCGGAGGAGGATATGGTAGTGGTGGCGGCTGGGGAGGATCTCAAGGCAGAGATTATCGACGCGGGCTGAATGGCGGGATGACTCCCATTAACTCTATCTCCCCATTGAAGAAGACCTTCCCTAACAACCATGTGGCATCCCAGAAGTACCCTCGAAACAGTCCCGCAGGCTTTAACCCCAAGTCCTGGATGGATGATGGAGTTGGCCGCAGCGATAACATCTTCCCCTTTCAGGTCAGTTTGCCTCTAAGATGTTTATTCAGATGGTTGAGTGGGAATTTTCACTAACTGTATGGAATTGTCCTCTTTTTCTTCCCAATTATGTTGTATACTAAGCATGAATGTCCAGCGTATATGTCTGGTTCTGAATATTTTTCAGTTGTAGCTGCTCATCACCTGAATTATTAAACAGCAGGATGTCATTTATGTGAACTATTAATATTATAGCATTATGTGGTACAGCTTCTATTTTTAGACACAGCAGGAGGGCACAGATTTACACGATGCTTTTGCTACTGTGTTAAACCTGTTATTGGACTCTGTACTTCTATAGCTGAGCGTCCTTTGCGATGACTAATGTGGCTCTGTCACTGCAGTGGTGTGTGCCATGTGAATTGGGGGGGGGCGCATATAGGAATGGGGGAGAAGACGGCATGGACAGAAAAAAAATGATAAGATTTTATAATGGGAGACTGGGAGAGCGAGGTACAAAATGAAGACGGCGATGGAGGGTATAACGACAGACAATAGTGTCAAAAACTATATCTGCATTAAGTGATGAATAACAATACATTATGGTTAGATTGCTTTTGTTCCAGTCGTAAACAACCATTAGCAACAAACGGTGATACTGTAGATCCATGAACCTTGCTCAGTTCTTTATGCTTTGCATATATTAGGCTCTTGACCTATTACACTGTGTAAAAGAGAGCCTGATGATTTATAAGATTTAGAGTTACATTAATCACTTACTGTATGTCATGGCATGGGTGGCCACCCCTTAATAAAAAAAAAAATCCAACCTGTTCATTCATTTTAAAAGCTGGGTCCACATACAATGAAGACTGCTTAAATAATTGTACTGTCACATGTAGAAACCAGCTGTAATAGAAAGAGGTAGAGGGGCCTGGAGATAAATTCATTCTATTGATCTAGCCCGTGATTGATTGTGCTGGTCGTTATAAGGAGGAGGGGAAAGAGACAGAGGTGGCTATAGACCCATCTGGGCCTATCCAGTGAAATGTTTCTTTAAGTACCCTACATATCCTTTACTTTTTTACGTTGTGACAAAGTCCCTGCAAGTTGGTGTCAGTCGTAGTCGTCGTCATGGATGAAAATAGATCGTGTTAAATAGTCCTGGTGGCTGCATGTCTTTTTAGATTCAGCAGCCTGTCAACATCATAACTGAACGTATAGATTGCAGATTTCCTGGACACGTTCTTTACCAGTGAATCCAAAATTCTCTAAAGATGCAAAGTAACTTAAAACTGTTTAAAGTGATGCTTGTTGTGACCTTTCTTCTTGTCCATTAGCAGTTAATGACTCAACACTCCACAGGCTCAGCAGCCAGAAGGTTGTGCGGACATGTCTTGACATGTATTAGAGAGGGAGCACATGCTTCTCAGTAGCTATTTAGGATTAATGTTGTTAACAGCTAATTGCTGTAGGTAGTTGTGCGGCCCAGGTTCGTGTCTGACCTGTTCCAGTTTGCTTTGATGAGGAGACTATTTAAAGGGGGCCTGTTATTCTCATTTACAGTTCCATATTTTTATTCTTGGACTCCACTAGACTAGCTTTGCATGATTCAGTTAAGACATCCTCATTTGTCTTGTACAGGGTGTTGGTACAGTTCATCCAACGTTTGAAATGAGCTTTTTTAGCTCCCACCCCATCATTGCTTAAAGCCACTAAATGTCAGTGACCTTCTGTGGTCTCTGATTGTCACCACACTTGCTGTGTGGACTTCCCTTAAGAGGACAATATTAGGAACATCCTCTCTCTTTTAGCTAGTTTTCTGGCAGCATAATTACAAGGATGGTGGCTCACTTATTTAGCATTGTAGTTTAAAAAAAGATAACTAAAATTGTAACAAGGTAGTTAGCTAATTTATAACTTCATCCTATTGCTTCTATTAACAGTTTTTACATGTCAAAAAGATTTAAAAAGCTTAAATTGATTAAATAACTGGGCAAATGTTGTGACCTAGTTCTGTATTACCTGTTCAGCTAATATCCGTCCTCTTAAGTTAATTAGTTACTGTATGCAAAATCATTTGTTGTGATATGTGAACGGGGTCATCAGTGATAGAATACTATAATGATCTTATAGAAGCATCACTTTCGGCTCATGCTGGAAGGAGGGAGGCTCTCCTGTGTCTCACTTTGTCTCCATCCTCCTCCCTGCTTTGTGCAGAGGTGCACATACGCAGCTGTTATGTCTTCATGAGCACAAAATTACAGATTAGCATGGTTGGATGGTACAAAAAAAGCTGTTGGCTTAATAAAAAAAAAAAAAAGACCAGAAAAAGTATAATGAGAAAGAAGTTCCCAACATGCTTTGTAGATTTAAATGCGTTAAAAGCATTACAACTGGCGTTACAACTGGTGTCAAACAGCCTGTAGATCAGATTTGGGTTTCTGCAACAATTTTGAGAAGCCTGACTGTTACATCCCGGTGTTAGAGTTAAGCTAGCTTTCCTGTAGCTGCAGTATGTTGTTCTTCCTTGTGGTTGAATCAGATCAACTAAAGTAGCATTGTCCTCTTGCCCCCTTGATACTGCAAGGGCAGATGGAGGATGGGCGTAGAATGGCCTCCCTGTCGGTGTGCATGTCTGAGAGAGGGAGAGGGACTGATTATGTAAGTGTAACTCCTTTTTTAAAATAACAACACATTTAAAATATAGGTTTCAATAACAAACAAAGGATAACAATGACTGTTAAGAAATTGCTGTGTATATTTATAGTCCTCAAGCTCATTTTGAAACCTGCCGCAATCTCCACTTTTGCTTCTTTTCTTCAAGAACATCTCCTTCGTGAATCTGTACTTTTCAAGCATATGCACGGTGGCGTAATGGCAAGTCGGACACGATCAGTTCACGCAGATTTGTTTTCGCCTCGCTTTGCGTGGATGTGGATCGGTATTGTTTTGCCCGTAGTTACATCTTCCACTCAGATCTGTATCAGTGCTGCTTGTTGCATTGTGTAATGCAGCCGCTTTGGAACATTCACTTCATATGCACTTCATGTGGATATTAGGATTTGTTCCAACTGAGATGGTTTACTACATGTAAATGAGGATTTGCTTATAAGTCTGTCAAATTCTGAATCACATCAGTTGTTTTTCTTCTCTTTTTTCTTTTTGTCAGTTTCGATCCACAACAAAACAACCGAATCTTGAAATGTTTCATTTTGGTGTGAGCATGTACTGTAGGTCATGATGTTGTGGTGAAGTGGTTACTGTAGAAACCATTGTTAAATTACTGCACAGCCAACCAAGCGTCACATTTAATTGCCAGTGCCTTCTCTGTATATTTCACTCTTAAATACATCTATCCAAGTGTTGTTTGGCTTTCATTATCCATGCTTGCATATACATGTGACATGAAAATTGCCACATCGGTCTCATCAGTTGCCTTAAGCAGTTTCCTATCCATTTACTCCCGTAGCTACAGAAATACTCCAGAGGAAGTTATGGGAAAGATGGCTTTGTTTTGCTTTCTTTAAAACTGTTTTTAAAATGGTTCTTGTCAATGTTTGTTGAGATCAGGCATTGTTCAGATGACTGATTACACAAGTTGTCTTACACAAGGCACTCCCGGATTTGGTAAATGAAACACTGTAGTTTGTGTAACTGTGAACTAAACAGACCTGTGTCACATCCCTTCTCCTGTAAGCCTCAACTGTTGGAGTTTTAGCACACACAACAGATGAAGGATCAGTTGGGCATTATTCAGGTCTTCTGTGTTTGATGAAATAACTCCTATTTCATCACAACATCTGCTTCTTTGTGCATTTTTAATGTCGTAAACATGTAATATAGATGATTTCTGTAAGTCAGTACTTTTGTGACCTTTGCACTATAAACTCGCTGCACATAAACACAATAAATCAATAGTATGCAACCAGTCAGATATGTTACAGTGGTTAACTATCCAGACACACTGCTGCTAACTGCTAGCACACAGTTCACTTAGTAAATAACCTTTGACCAGAAATGTGTACTTTTTAAATGTCAGGGAAGTCTTTATTTTCTTCTTCTTCTATCTGTTATTCTTTCCTTCTTTGTCCTCTAATTCTTCACCCGTGAATTTCAAGGTCAGAAGCCTGCTGCTGTGTCAGGTGTACTGAGTGGTTTCAGACTGGTAAATCTGGCCAGTGACCAGGTCAAGACCTGCAGGGTCTGAGGTAGAGAAGCCAGCACAGGATATTGCCTCAGTAAGCCACCTGGGTAACTGTTGGTTACAGCGCTCCTGACTGTTTGTGCAGCTTAGAAATAATGATGCTGTTATCTGAAGGCACATTATTAAAACTGTCTCTGTGTATGTCCAGAAAATCTTTGCAGAGTGTGGTTTTACATATCGCTTTAACCAAAACAACGCTACTTTTTATGTAAAATCAGACCTGTAAATGACCAGTACACGGGGTTGTAAGCTGGTTTGCGTTACGAATATTAGACTATTAGGCCGTTTGTTTTTACTCGATAAGCCTGTGCTTTAAATATTTGTAGTTGGATGCCCTGCGTCAGCTTACATGGGCTCCAGCTCTTCTGTGACCCTGAATTTGATAAGAGGTTAAGAAAATGGATGCATGTTTGGAAAATACTGTAGCTCTGGAGTGGGCGGCACAGTGGTTAGAGCTGTCGCCTCTCAGCAAGAAGGTCCTGTGTCTGCATGTTTCCCTTTTGCCTCCAGATACTAAATCTTCCTCCTACAGTCCAGTGACATCCATGTTAGGTTAATTGGCTGTCTCTGTGTTAGTGCTGCTATATACTGGCGACTTGTCGAGGGTCTACCTCTCCTCTCACACCATGACAGTTGGGAGAGTCTCCAGACCTCAGACCCCACCCCCAATCCTGAATCAGATTAAGAAAATGGATGGATGTATAACTGGACGGATGGTGCTCAGGAGCCTAAAGATGATATTCAGTATTTACATGAACCTTTGTTGGTTATATTCTACAAAGGCCAAGGGTGGCAGTACATGCGTGAAAACTGCTAACATCTGAATCTTTAATGAAAATATGATGCAGAAAATATTGAGTGTGAACTAGAGGAAGTGCAGTTGGGTAAACGCTATCCTGTCCAGAGTTAATTGTCAGTAAAAAAGTTAGACAAACAAAGCCATGGAAGTGGCTGAAAAAGCAAGGCCTGTTGCTTTGTGCCTGATAAAACCGAGAGTAAAATGCAGCTATTTATTATGTCTGGTAATGGCAGACAGAAAACATTGTTTGTAAACTCCGGTTGAGAAGAGATAAGAAAGGTATGTGTGAACATCCGTTCATATATGTACTGTGAACTCCTGAAATAAAACTTTCACTTTACAGCAGAAGTATAAGTTCTGGATTAGCAAGTAAGCAAAGCTAAATGTTATTTTATTATTGCCTGAATTTATTCCGATAAGTAATTTTCTTCTGCTCATTTTTATTTGTTCATAGCTCATTTGTGTCCTGGAGCGATCTGCTTATTCTTAAACTGATATATTTTTGTGGGATCACTAGGATGTCAGGTGTGGCAATGGCGAATGGTTTGCATGGATCAACCCCTTTTTTGGGGGTGAAATGGTAGAATTATTGCTGCGGTTTTTCACAGATGTATTAATAATATATTTCAAACAAGGCAAAAGTACATTTTTAACTCCCTAACCCCAAAGCACACACACGTATATATGAGTATGAATACTCACGTATAGGGCTGCTCAATTAATCGAATTTTAATCACGATTACGATCTGGGCTTTCAACGATCATTAAAAATGACTGAGCCGATTATTAGCCCCTCCCTAATTTATTCGCGACACCTTAAAGGCCGTTCCGTGAAAATATTGTCGGGCATAAACCGGTCCGTGGCGCAAAAAAGGTTGGAGACTGCTGATTAAGAGGACCCGAGGGAAGCTCGGAAAGCTAAGCAGAAGTTATTTGGAGAGTGACTGCCGTTGGTTGAAAAGAGAGTTTAAAAAAAAAAAACTTCAGTGGTGTTGCACACTATTTTATATTATTTTTTTAAAGTCATTGTTAACCCTTTAAAGCCGGTCAGAGCAGCACGCTCCGTTTTGCGTAACTATTTTTAAATCCCTGTAGAACCTGAACCGTGTAAGCTAGCGCAATAATTTGTTTTGCATATGAAACCGGAGGAGTTGTACTTACATCTGATGCCATCAGCTTGTCCTCGGTCACAGTTTCGTTCCACATATAGCTTTGCAAAAATTGCATAAAAAGCGCTTGCAGGAACAAAAACATAATATTCCAGAAACACGCTTTGCCGTTCCTATCAGCTGTTCGTAACACTTCCCACAGTGAAATGATGCACATGCTGTTTTCTTTGCAAATTTGCATCATAGGATTGTTTTTTGTTTTTCCTGCAGTATATAAAAATTGCTGTATCTCCAAAAATAAAACTATGAAGACACTCAAAATAAATTTCCTGTTGTTGTAAACTATTTTTTGCAACTTTATTGTATTTAAAGTTTTGAGGGATAAGCCTCTTAAATTTCTCCAAGTAGAAATATATGTAAACAAAACAAAAGCGATTTTCAATTTTTTTTGTAGTTTATTGCACTTTTTTGCAATTTATGTAATTACTATGGACTTAATGCATACATATTATTAAAATATGGGCTATAACAGTTGTATTGATGTATAGCAACTTGAAATGCTCCCACAAATGGCACTACAGCATGTAAAAAAATAATATAAGCTCTGGTGGACTTTGTTCTATAGTAGGTCTTAAAGGGTTAAATAAATATCGTCAAATAATCGTGATCTCAATTTCAGTGAAAATAATCGTGATTATCATTTTTGCCATAATCGAGCAGCCCTACTCACGTATCAGGTAATTGAACTGTAGACCTGCCCATTTTCCTGTGTTAAACACAACACCTTATGGTTCCTGTACACAATCACGCTGACACTGACAAATTTGCTTTAAAGATAAGCCTCAGGCCTTTCAGGTACCCTTCCTTGCCTACCTGTGATGTTCTGCATGAAAACTGTCATGCCATTTCAGACAAATTCTCTCGGTCATTTGAAGCCCAAGGTTAAAACCATTACCACTGGTCCTTGTGACAGTGTTGTTAAATTAGAAAAAAAACTTGCTTTTTTTTTTCTTTTTTTTTAAACTAATGAGCGGTGCACCGGCAAGCACATAACTCTCCTGCTCATACAGCCTCATTGTGCCCTTCTTACGCCCTTGACAGACGCTCTGCAACAGGAAGAAAGGGCACTTGTGTATACGTGTGTGCATAAGCCCTAATTAGTCACTGAAATATGTGTTCAGCAAAATTTGATATAACAAAAAAGAGTTGACAAAGGAAAGTTTATGTTCAGGTGTCTTATAGGGCTGCTCGATTATGGCAAAAATGATAATCACGATTATTTTCACTGAAATTGAGATCACGATTATTTGACGATATTTATTTAACCCTTTAAGACCTACTATAGAACAAAGTCCACCAGAGCTTATATTATTTTTTTACATGCTGTAGTGCCATTTGTGGGAGCATTTCAAGTTGCTATACATCAATACAACTGTTATAGCCCATATTTTAATAATATGTATGCATTAAGTCCATAGTAATTACATAAATTGCAAAAAAGTGCAATAAACTACAAAAAAAATTGAAAATCGCTTTTGTTTTGTTTACA